TCATTCGGAATCAATTTCAATTTTCTAGTTATAATAAAATCTATCGATTTTCCATAAAATATCTTAATTACTGAATTCACCAGTATAACAACACATTCCCATTGGAATGTACATATGTATCCATGTTGTTAATAAATCCTTAACACAGTTACCCTTCATGCATGCCAACGTTATGGTCATCTTTGGCTTGTTCTAACTTTAATTAAAACATAATAACAACAAAAACAATATGTAAACATAGTTACGGCCAACACAATGTTTGCAACATAATTGATAATGGCCAGGCTGTTTAAATTGCAAATTTATAATCAAAGCACAGGGACGCAGCTTTTTTACAGTTTCGTGGTTTTCAATGGGATCGTGAAAACCCACAGAAAAACAATGAAATGTATAACCAACAACAATCAAACCCACATCATTAAAGTGTAGCAGCAACAACAACGCTAGCTGCTGTAACAGGTATGGCTTCTATAGTAGATCAGCAATACACATTCATCTGGTCTATTTATATTTAGTGGGATGTAGTAAAGGAAAGTATGTCATAATTTGGATTATTAAGACTTTAGAATATTGGGAATATAGAATTGTAATACTCTGTTGCTTCTTCAAATTAAAAATAAACTTATATTCTTAATTTAATCAATTTTATATATAGGAACCACCCTATTATTTACCCCCATCATCGCTTATGAATGCAACCATGAAAAAAGGGAAAATAATGATGATGTTGATGATGCCACTCATACTTTCTGGCTGGTTAGTTTAAAGATGGATGCAACTATTTTGCTGTTGCCGTTGTTAAATAAATGAGAGGTACTCATTCATCTACATAGGGCTGTATTCATTTGAGATTTAGCAAAGCTTATAGTAATTAGAAAAAAATATTTCTTTAAAAATTAAGTCTTACGTCTCTGATAGTGCGATTACTATTTTTTGAGGGACTATTAGTGTTATATATTTAAAATATATTTCTAAATGTAACTAGAAGGACTATCAGTATTATAAGCGTTGATTTTTAAAGTATTTTCTTAACGATGAGAGAATTTGATTAATGTCTTAAATGTTTTGGCTTTGGGTGAATTTTTAAGAAATAGCGCAGATTTCACAGATATAGCTCCCACATATATTTTCGTCCGATTTTATTTAAATTGTCCACAAAAATCCCAAGGATTGTCCGATTGATACAAAATTTTGCACGGCGTATTGAAATAGGTTCATGTATTCAACGTTTTGTGGATTCAGGTTCAGATTTAGATATAGCTCCCATATATAGCTTTGTCCGATTTTTGTATAAAGGTTTACTAATTGATACAAAATCGATTTCATACAAATGGTACCAAAAGAATCCGACTTTTGAGCTTTCCTTGCTGGTTTAATAATATTTTATCGAGAAATTTTTAGATATTTTCCCCGAATATTTTTATGGACTAGAAGCGGTTTATAATTTTACAAGCTCGATCTGGGTTATTTTTTAAAGATTTGAGTTTTAATGATTTTCTTCAAAGCCAATATGTTGATTTGTAAAGAACATGTCATCAAGGGCATTATGCTTCCGTTTTTAGGAATATTTTTCTTTTCTGAGGATTAACATTTGGTTTTAGCGAATATACTGTTTGACAATCGGGGAATATGCGTGGATTTTTTTTACGATCCTTTATATCGTTATTGTCATTTAAATCGACTGGGAAGTGCTTGTAACCCCGTGCAACTCCTTGTCCACACATGTTAAGCTATACGCTCTAATAAACAAAAACTCATAAATGTTACCTGCTTGGAGTAAAAAAATGCCGGATACTACACGCAAACAAGAAGCATTGTTGTTGTGTTATGATGTGAAAGGTGAGTTATGTGTATCCTGGTGTAGAATACACGGTTCTCTGCCATTGATTGAAGTAGCACATATGAAAGTCAGTGTGTGGAATGTGGGTGTGCCTGTGTGAGCTTGTTTTCTCGTATAAACATGTATGAGTGTGTGACGATGTCTGCTACTGTGCCTCTTCGTAGATGGCTGTTGCTGCTGACTTGTTCAGGTTCCGTTGTTAGGAGGTGCTTGTTAATGAAAGTATGTCAATGCACTTAAACGTATCAATGAGTTCAGAAGAGAGTTAGCGAAGTAAGTTTGAACATACACTTGTCTCGTACAAGTATTGATTTGCTAAAGCAAAAAATGTAAACCAGAAAAAAACAATCACTTTCGCCATAGTTCAGTCTTTTTGTTTGTTGTTCTTGTTTTCGACATAGCTGCTTCAAAGAGCAGTTATAATGATAATATAAATATATATGCATACGAGTATGAAAGTGCGGTGTTGGAAATGCGGAACAATATTTTAATTAAAATCTGTGTATATTAGGCAATGTTATCCAAAATATGAAATTTCATAAAGTTGATTTTATTTTTGTATAAATTAAGGCAATATTAAAGAGGTATCTGGTTAAACAACTTCCTATTATTATTTTCTTTGAACGACTTCCGTTTTGTTGTTATGGTTAAAATAAGGTCAAAAATTATTTCTTATACAAATTGCCTACAATTGAACGTCAATATTATACGTAATACGTTTGTATTGATATTTTTGTATTCCCAGCACTACAGCACACCACAACAATTCTAGCTAAACCTCTATTCTCTATTTCCAATTTAAATTTCATTTGACTTTGTATTGCCAATAATCTGTGAAATGTCAATTTTGCATATGAAAATTATTTTGACAGCATAATTGAAAGATTGTCAGCTTTATATGCCTGATCCTATGGCACTTTCACATGACCACTTCATAGTCAGGGCAAATTGGAACTTAATGACGATATAATGGATATGGGTGGTTCTATAGAAATCAAAAGTATCGAACAAAAATATTACATATAAAATAACAACATATATATTTTCTAAATGCATATAAAGCGTGTCTCAACACAAAGGACGTGTATACACTATGTAAAAATAATTCACAATATTATATTTTCCATGAGCAATATACAAAAATTGCTAATGTTTCGCCTGTCCATAGAAAAATTTCCATTTTCCTGCTTATAGTTGTTGGTTATTTGCTCGTATTTCTCCTACGTTGGTGTATTGAAATATATACAAACATACATAAACCCCCATCGCTATATGCATCGATTTGCAAAGCCCTAATTGTGTAATTATGACTTTATTCTGTATAAGCGACATTGTTCAACATGCACCATGGGATTTGATTTCAGAAAATTGTTTAACAAAAATAAATAAATCGAAAGATTATAACTTTATATTGATAAATACATTAATATCATACTGATCTCCTATAGAAAATGTATGTGTATTCAAATAATACAATACCTGATAAAGGTATTGAGCATATAGAATACTTCTGTATAAAGAAAAATTTCTCTAATACCGCGTTAAAATAGATGGAATTCCTCAGTTCTTTCACTAGAAAAGGCTTTTCTCGCGTTTTCAAATGAAATGAGACCTTCAGGGTATCCGCAGAAATTCTGTACACGAAATTGGTCGGGACTCTTTAAGAGACTTCACTAAAATATGGACTTGTAGTCCAGAATATTTTATTCTCACGAACATATACTCGGTCTGGTTGGGAAGTGTTGTCTAGGATCTAGGTTTCCAGCATACAGAAAATTGTTTGTGATCTTTATATGGGGGCTATGTCAAAAAATGTAGCATTGAAAATTTTCTACCAATCACGATCACCATATCAGAAAATTGTTTAACAAAAATAAATAAATCGAAACATTATTACTTTATATTGATAAATACATTAATATCTTACTGATCTCCTATAGAAATTGTATGTGTATTCTTATAATACAATACCAGATGAAGGTATTGAGCATATAGAATACTTCTGTATAAAGAAAAATTTCTCTAATACCGCGTTAAAATAGATGGAATTCCTCAGTTCTTTCAATAGAAAAGGCTTTTCTTGCGTTTTCTCATTTCATTTGAAAACGCTTGAAAGACCTTCAGGGTATCCGCAGAAATTCTGTACACGAAATTGATCGGGACCTTTTAATAGAGACTTCACTAAAATATGTACTTGTCTTCTAGAATATTTTATTCTCACGAACATATACTCGGTCTGGTTGGGAAATGTTGTCTAGGATCTAGGTTTCCAGCATATAGACAATTGTTTTTGACCTTTATATGGGGGCTATGTCAAAAAATGTAGCATTGAAAATTTTCTACCAATCGCGATCACCATATTTAAATTGTAGTTATTTCGAATGCCATATTACTGTCCTTCGGTTGGAAAATGCGGCTACGATATTTAAAATGCATAATATAGGTCGGTACCATTATATGGGGGCTATACCAAAACATGGACCTCTAAATGTTGTGTTTTGCTCACAAATATCACAGAAAGTTAAAAAAACAGTCACTTTGGTTGGAAAATGTTAACCGGAGCATCAAGCCGATATATCCATTTTTGAAAACCAAACATTCTTGGATATTAATTTTTGAAAATTTTCAAATTGGTGTTGCAAACAGAATGACTGCAGCTGCTTTATTAACATTTTCTGCGATAACTTTTTTACATCCACAATAACCCATTGTGTAATTTTACTGACAGGCGCTTTGCCTTCATTATTGTTGCTGCTGTTGTTGTCGTTATGAATATTTGCTTGCTTTAGTGACAATTGACTATAATTTCATCTGTCGCCATTTTAACATAACAACAATAACAGTAACAACAAACCCCCTCCAGTTTTACACCAAATTATTAAGAGGATATGATTGCAGCTGGTAATGATGGCATTAACGCTTATGGCTACCGAAGGTTGTGCAACAAGCGGGAGGACGAAAACACAGTAATAAATGCGTAGTGGGATGGATGGATGACTTTGTGTTCGGCCTGCATTTGCCTGACCATCAAAGTAATTAGGAAAAGCATTCCCCATATAAAAACCCTAAACCCTGTATTTAGTGTTCAAAATTGTTTTGTGGCCTTTAACGGAATTCTAATATCAAACGATACCAGCGGAGGCAGTGTCGGTCTCGGTATCATGAAATTGTTACCATTAACAAAAGTTTTCAATATTTTGTGTTACAATGTGGCCAGCGTAATTATAATGAGCCAACTGGCATGTTGTGGCAATAACTGTGAACTATTGGCCTTTAAGGAGTATCTTCAATTTCAAAATTTAAATCAGGCTATTGTAGTCTATGGTGGAAAGGAACGAAAATCGTATGAAATGGCGAAGGATCCATTATCTCAATGTTTTCTTAAGTTTTTTAATATTAATAATTTAAACGCCAACACAGATCTGTACAAATTGTTTCGTGGAAATTCTTATCGTATGGGTATTTTTCTGAAACACACCACAGGAGATGTTGCAAAGGAAAAATTACTCTTCAAAGCATCGGAAAATTTTTCATTTAACAACTCAATATCTTGGTTTGTCATTATGGAAAATGAATGCAATAAGGAAGTCAATTTTTTGGAAAATATTCAAAATGCATTTGGTAATTTAAATATACTTCTCAATGCTGACTTTACTGTGGTTTATGAAACGAAGAAGTAAGAAAATGATTGGCTAAGTAATTGTTTCTGAAGAAATTTCTAAATATTTGATGTGCTTTTTTGCTTCTAGATGTTTCTTCGATTTGTACGATATTTATAAAATATGTTATAAATGTAATGATGATAATCTGTTGGTGGAATATAAAGGAAATTGGTCGATGGAAAATGGGTTGATGGCTGAACAACGATTTAAAATCCCATTTGTACTTCGAAGAAATAATTTTAGAAACTCGACGGTAAATGTGGCAGCTGCTGTAAGTGAAAACTGTTATTTTTTATGAAAAATAAAAATCTGTTATTTTCAATAAAAATCAAATAACAAATTTCATTAAATATAATTTTTATTATAATTGTTTTACAGATTCTCAACTATTCTCCAAGCCTCAATATGACAATGTCAGAATATTTGAATGATAACAAACATTATTTACAAAACGATTTTATGCAGAGGAAAACCTATCAGTTAATGGCTATAACCCAGGATGTGTATAACTACAGGTAAATTAATGTATTCCACCGGATCAGAATCTGCTCGCTGATAATATTTAAGAAACAATTGCCACAGTTGAACTTTTTATATCCTCCATCATAAGCAATTAAGTAAATTTCAAACTGACTACAAAAAAAAAAAAAAATAAATAAATAAATAAATAAATAAAAAAATAACAGTAAATTTGGAATTCGCAATATATATTATGAGAACCGAATATTTCGTTTGTTTCGTAGTTTCTCATGATAGATGATACAATTTAAATACCTTCAAACGCATTTGGTGTCTTTTTTAAAAATTGGAATTATTAGTTGATTATTTACAACATTCGTGGAAACTTTGGTCTTTTTTAGATACCCAAAACGATAATGACGTGCATATTATTACGAATTTTTTTTATATAATTACGAATCGTATTTTGTCAAAAATCAAAATTTTTGAGCACAAAAAATTGGTCATCACCATATAGTTCATTTTTGAAAGATCGCCACACATATAATTTGGAGGATATTGTATATACTGGATTGTGAAAATATGTTGTATTAATTTTCCTAATGGTCATCAGTGGAACATTCTAAGACATCTCTCTGAAAGACTAGATTTTCACTTTCAATAAACATTTTCTATAGTTTTCAACTACATATCAAAGATGGCTGGGGAATATTTAATAATGGAACATGGACCGGTGTCATTGGTCTGATGACCAACAAGGATGTTGAATTTAGTCTGTCCCCGTTACGTTACATGATCGATCGCTTGCATGTTGTCAGCTATACTCCCGTGGTGCATGTCGAATTGTGAGTATATTCTTTAGAACAAATTTCTCCTAAAAAAACAATATTTTTATATATAATATTAAATTGCCAATTTAATTTTATTACAGAGTACGCTTTCTTCTGCGCCATCCGAAACGCACAAGCATACGCAACATCTTCTTCGAACCATTGGCCGTCAATGTGTGGTGGTGTGTCCTGGCCTTAATTATAATCACGGGTATTTTGTTGGGCATACACATTCACACGGAATACCAACTCTACTGGAAATTGAAAATGCTACAACCACACGAACGTGTTGCAACGTTCTACCAACGTGGTCCCGAACATAAGCTGGATTTTGTTGTATTGACCATATTGGAGACGGCATTTATGCAAGGCCCCGCACCTGAGCAGTTTCATGCCAATTCGACACGTTTGCTTTTGACTTCGGTATCTGTATTCGCCATACTTCTGATGCAATTCTATGGGGGATACATTGTGGGCACTCTGCTATCGGAAACTCCACGTACAATCACCACTCTAGAAGCCCTCTATAATAGCACTATGGAGATTGGAATGGAAGATGTTTCGTATAACTATGATATTTTCAATCTTAGCCAAAATCAGGTGGCACAGAAAATTTTCAAGACTCGCATTTGCAAGAATGGCAAACGGAATATCGTGACTTTGGAGGATGGATTGCAGCGTATAGCCAAGGGCGGGTTTGCCTTGCATGTATCACTTAATAGGGCATACCAGCTATTGACAGGTATGTATGTATAAATGGACGATTGCTAAGTGAACGGTGGGTGGGTGAAATCTTGTAATACGGCCATAATTTGTATGATAAAAATATTGCAAAACCAGAATTGTTTCGTTTTAAAGGCTCATTAAAAAACCCTCGTCTTTTGTGTTTTAAAATATCAATAAATTATTTAGCGCGGAATCTTGGTTAATAACAGTTGAATGGGTTTTTACAATTCATAGCTTGGCGATTACAATGTGGATTTGTGCATCTGTGGCATGTACTGGCTAGCTTCTGCTGCCTGGCATGTAATATATCACAACACCCTTACCACCAAGCAATGACAGCAACAACAACACTAATTTCGAACAATAACGGGGTGTTGTTGGCACAATAAAAGTGGCAACAAAAGATTTACTCGTTTCACGTTTTACATTCAAGAATCATAAATAAATTGTTAAATATTTGTGTTCAGTTTATGTGGCAGATAAATTTCCACCATAACAAACAAATGAAATATCTACGTTTTGTTGTTAACAATACAATTGCCACATTAATATTCTTCTTCTTTGTTGTTGTTGTTATTGCATAAATTGAATATTTTCTGCAAGGGAAAGGGTTCCGTTTGTTCTTTTCAATGGCAGAGATTTTTACCGTTTCATTGGGGTAACTGTATCATGTAGTTCCTGCAAAATGAAAAGAAAGAAATGAGAAAACTGTAGGTAAATATCGATATACTGAACCAACAAAAAGAACCGTTGTCAGCATATTTTTATATCGTAAATTCATTTTATATTTAATGTTACTTTCATATAAATAAATGGGCATCCCTTCTTTATACCCTTCACCACACTGTGGTACAGGGTATTATGTCTTTGTGCATATGTTTGTAAAAGGCAAAAATAATCGAGATAGACCCATGGTTCCTTTTGAGAATATGCATAGAATCACGTTCTAAGTCGATTTATGCATGTCCGTCCGTCCGTCTGTCTGTCCATGTTAAATTGTAAACAAAGTACAGGTCGCATTTATGATCCGAATTAGATGAAATTTGGCACAGGTCACTTATTCGGCCCAAGGACGAACCCTATTGAAATTGGGAAAAATCGGTTCAGATTTAGATATAGCTCCCATATATATATTTTACCGATTTAATGTAAACGGTCCCTATATATCTTTCGATTTGGACGAAATTTGGTACAGCCTAATCATTTAGGTCTAGAATGATGTCTGCCAAGTTTCGTGAAAATCGGTCCAGATTTAGATATAGCTCCCATATATAGTTTCGTCCGATTTCATGTAAATGGTGCCCCAAAGTCCCTATATATCTTTCGATTTGCACGAAATTTGGCATAACGTACTGAATTGAGCCTAGAATGATGTCTGCCAACTTTCGAGAAAATCGGTCCAAATTTAGATATAGCTCCCATATATAGTTTCGTCCGATTTCATTTAAATTGTGCCCCAAAGTCCTATATATCCTTAGATTTGCACGAAATTTGGCATAACGTACTGAATTGAGCCTAGAATGATGTCTGGCAACTTTCGAGAAAATCGGTCCAAATTTAGACATAGCTCCCATATATAGTTTCGTCCGATTTCATGTAAATGGTGCCCCAAAGTCCCTATATATCCTTCGATTTGCACGAAATATGCCAAATTCCGTGCAAATCGCAAGAAATCGTACTGAATTGAGCCTAGAATGATGTCTGTCAAGTTTCGTGAAAATCGGTCCAGATTTAGATATAGCTCCCATATATAGTTTCGTCCGATTTCATGTAAATGGTGCCCAAAGTCCCTATATATCTTTCGATTTGCACGAAATTTGGCATAACGTACTGAATTGAGCCTAGAATGATGTCTGCTAAGTTTCGTGAAAATCGGTCCAGATTTAGGTATAGCTCTCATATATAGTTTCGTCCGATTTCATGTAAATGGTGCCCCAAAGTCCCTATATATCTTTCGATTTGCACGAAATATGTCAAATTTCGTGCAAATCGCAAGAAATCGTACTGATGATGATGTCTGCCAACTTTCGAGAAAATCGGTCCAAATTTAGACATAGCTCCCATATATAGTTTCGTCCGATTTCATGTAAATGGTGCCCCAAAGTCCCTATATATCTTTCGATTTGCACGAAATTTGGCATAACGTACTTAATTTAGCCTAGAATGATGTCTGCCAAGTTTCATGAAAATCGGTCCTGATGTAGATATATCTCCCATATATAGTTTCGTCCGATTTTATGTAAATGGTGCCTAAAGTCCCTATATATCTTCCGATTTGCACGAAATTTGGTACAGCCTAATTATTTAGGTCTAGAATGATGTCTGCCAAGTTTCGTGAGAATCGGTTTAGATATAGCTTCGTCCGATTTCTTGTAAATTGTGCTCCAAAGTCCCTATATATCTTTCGATTGTTTCGTCCGATTTCATGTAAATGGTGCACCAAAGTGCCTATATGTCCTTCGATTTGCACGAAATTTTGCATTACGTACTGACTTGAGCCTAGAGTGATGTCTGCCAAGTTTCGAGAAAATCGGTCCAGATTTCTATATAGCTCCCACTTATAGTTTCGTCCGATTTCATGTAAATAGTGCACCGAAGTCGCTACATATCTTTCGATTTGCACGAAATTTAGCATAACGTACTGAATTGAGCCCAGAGTGATGTCTGCCTTGTTTTGTGAAAATCGGTCCAGATTTAGATATAGCTCCCTTTTATTATAGATTGATTTTAAGTAATTGACGCACCAAAGAACCAATAGGAACAAAACGTTCTGAAATTAGTATAACCTAACCTGTGACAAGTTTGTTTGAAATCGCTTAATATTTGGTTAGAGCTTCCAAATATATATTTCCGCCCGATTTCAAGTAAATTGGACATCAAACTCCTCATGTTAGTCAGATTGACATCAAATTTTGTACATCGTACAAAATTGAGCATAGAATAACGTAGTTGCGTTTTCTAGAAGTACAGACATAGCCCAACGGATGACCTATGTATATTTGTTTGAAGTCGATTTACATACTTTATGGATAGATCTACGTAGATTCACATTTAGATAAATACCACATATTTTATTTCATCCAATTTCATGCTAATAGTCCTGTTTAATATACCCATAGTGGTGAAGGGTATCATATAGTCGGCCCCGTCCGACTATACTGCTCCGCTCACTGGTTTTTCTTTTGATTTTAGATATGTTAACACAATCACAATTTTGTGAACTACAAGAGATAACATTTAACAACCCGTTTGTGACAGCCATTGGCACGTCGAAGACAACACCCTATTTGAAATATTTGAAGACAGCTGTTTTGAAGTTTCGTGAATCTGGCGTTATGCGATATAACGAACTTGTATGGAAATTACCAAAGATCGATTGTGCTGCTTTGGCCAAAGATGATGTGGAAGTTGATTTGGAACACTTTGCTCCCGTCTGTGTATTTTTAGCATTTGCTATTATGATATCGATATGGATTTTTATGTTGGAACTAATCTATAAACGTATGAAATATTTACTTCATATAGATTACGAAGAAATACGAGGTACTATTCGTTCTTATTTGCGTAAATGAAAAAAAAAACTGAAATTATTGGCAGTTTGAAGAAAATGGCAGGGTATAATAATGGTATGGATTTGTTTGATTTTTATATTTACTTGATTCAATTAAAATATATATTGATTTCATTTTGCAGGATATTAGGGCTGCTGACTTTATATAAGGAATTATAACTATGTTTGTCATTATCTTAAATTTATGTAAGGAATTCGAAATTACTTTTTTAAGCACCCTTTGCTTCTGATGTTGAACACATTGTAGATCAATAATAAATGTTTGTAGTATTAAAAATGTGTTTTTGATATCTATTTTAATTTATGTATGGATTATGAATTTGAAAATGTTATGACAAAAAGTGAACTTATATTTACAATTTTTAGTGGAAACATATGGTACCCAATAATAACCTAATTTACAGAATTTCAGAATATTAGGTTGAAAAGCGTGCTCAAGAACCCCAAAATACCGAAAATTGGGGGTACCCTTATATGGGAGCTATGCCTAAACGCGGCCGGATATAGTCCATCTTCGAACTTGACCTACCTCCAGACAAAAGACAACTCTATGCTAATTTTTTGCTAGAATTTTACGCTAATTGTTGTCTCAAAATGCGACATCCCTCAAATCAGATAAACTCTTTTAAATTATTTTGGTCCTGAAATATCCACTATATTTGCAATTAATTCGGACCGCAAAGTAAGTATTTTCCAAGATTTAGAAAAAATTACAAGCTTCATTCTTCAGGATCACATTCAATGAAATTTTGAAATACAATACTGGTAAACCCTATTTGTATGGCATATTTATTAAAAAAAACAATATATTTGTGTCGCTCCCATAAATATAGTAGCCAATTGACGTATCAATAAACATTTTTGCATTTTTGTGACAGCATTCTGTATTACTTTCTATTTGTTTTAGTGATAATTGACTATAATTTTATATGTCACTATGTTAAAATAACGACAAACATAAATGCGGGTATCATTAAGTGGCTCTCTCTCTCCCTCTCTGTTTATGAGCATTGAAAATTTAATTCATTAAATAAAATCGGAATTCTTTATATAAAGAGTGAATAAAATATTTATTGTTCGAATAGTTTTGTGGCCTTTAAGGGCATTGGAAAATCAAACAATAATCACACGGCAACGGCATCGGCAACATGAAATTGTTACCATTAACCGAAGTTTTCAGCCGATTGTGTTGCAATGTGGGCATCATCATTATAATTAGCCAATTGACATATTGTGGGAAAAACTGTGAACAATTGGCATTCAAGCAACATCTTGACTATCGAAAAATCAAGCAAGCCATTGTAGTGTATAGTGGAATTGAATATCACAAATATTCCGACTTTGAAAAAAATAATATGCATCCGTATTTTCTTAAATTCCTTAACACTGACAACAGGAAGAGTGCAACAAATTTTTCTCAATTACTACGATGAAATTCTGCCCAGTTGGGTATTTTTATGCGGTACTCCGAAAGCGAAAGTGCAAAGAAAATATTTCTTCATAATGCCTCGCAGTATAATGCATTTACTAACTCAATTTCTTGGTTTGTAATTTTCGAAAATAGTTACAATAACCAAAGTGATAGGTACGAAAATATTCAAAAATCATTTGGGCATTTAAGTATACTACAAAATGCTGATTTTACAATTGCGGTTCATAAGAAAAAGTAAGTTGTGTTGTATTTTTTTAATATATTGATTGCATGTTTTCAAAATTTACAGTTGTTTCTTCGATTTATATGATATATATAAATTATGCCATCATTGTAATGATGATAAATTGCAAATTGGCTATAAGGGGAATTGGTCAGAGGAGAATGGTTTAAAGGTTAATGCGAATTATAGATTACCATTTGTTCAGCGTAGACGTAATTTTAAAAATATTCCCGTTAAAGTTGCAACTGCCGTATGTTTTGATTTATAATTTAAAACTGAAATATTGAGCACATTATTTTGTTTTTCAATTTCATAATTTTGAAGCTCCTCAACTATTCCCCTAACATAAATATGACAGTGTGTGAATATCTGAAAGACAATACCCATTATGTTCATGATGATTTCCTGCAAAGGAAAACATATCAGCTGATGGTCCTTACACAGGATGTTTATAGTTACAGGTATGTAAGGATGTGTTTTTAATTAATTATATTGTCTATATGCAAATTTTCAATTAAAGTCTGCATTTTCAAATTTATTTTTTGGGGGGAGGGTGTTGGTCGTGAATGTTCCCGCTGGTGCGATATGCATTTGTAATACTCAGAATAAATCAAATTTTAACACAAAATTGAGATCCATTTGACGAACCGAAAAAAAATTATTTTGAGGTATATACAAGTAACTTAAGGAAGTGCTCTACGAATTGTATTGCAATGCATAATATATTTATATGGATTTGGTATCCTGCTATATTGTAGTCTAGCTACAGTTCTATCTTGGTTTTTTTTCTTCTTATTTCAAACAAAAAAAAAATTAATGTAACCTCAAAAATCAGGCATTATTCTCTAATTTATTTTACCATCATTAAATTAGCTTTCAACTCAGCCTTGACAAAGATTGGGGGACATTTACGAATGGAAGTTTTAATGGTGTTCTTGGTCAACTACAAAATCAAAATATTGAATTTGCTTTACTTTCATTACGATATACAGCGGAACGTCTTAAAATATTTAGTTACACCCCAGTGATTCATATAGAACGGTAGGTAAATGTTTGCCTGTATTTGTTTATCTGTATAAATCCTTAGTAAAATAAACGTTGTCTTTATAAGATAAACAACCTTTCATTTATACCCATCACATAGAGTACGTTTCCTTTTGCGCCATCCAAAACGCCATGGCATACGCAACATCTTCTTCGAACCGTTGGCCGTGACCGTCTGGTGGCTGGTATTGGCTCTAATTGCAATCACCGGCATTATGCTGGCCATACATGTACATGCCGAATATCAAATTTATTGGGAATTGAAAATGCTACAACCGCACGAGAGTGCTGCAACAACATTGCAACAACTTGCACCCGAACATAAACTGGATTTTATTATATTGACCACATTGGAAGCGGCATTTATGCAAGGCCCATCACCTGAGCATTTTCATGCGAATTCTACACGACTGCTGTTGACCTCGGTATCTGTGTTTGCTCTACTGCTGATGCAATTCTATGCGGCATGTATTGTGAGCTCTTTGCTATCGGAAGCACCACGAACTATAACCACCCTCGAAGCGCTGTACAACAGTGGCATGGATATTGGTATGGAAAATGCTTGGTATAATTTTGAAATGTTCAAAGCATCAACGAACCGTTTTGTGAATAACATTTTCAAGTACCGCATTTGTAAGAATGGCAAACAGAATATCGTGACTTTGGAAGAGGGTATCCAACGTATTGCCAGAGGAGGTTTTGCATTGCATGTTATTCTCAATTCTGCATATCAACTTTTGGGAGGTATGTGAAAGAAATATTTTCTTGAAATGCAGCTTAAAAATTAATATATTACCTTTAAATAAATCAAATTCAAATTTTGAGGATGTCTCTGCCAAACTCGAAGCTTGTATTAAAAAGATATCAAACTTTCCCCATTTTCTTCATTTCCAGGTAAGTTGACTGAATCCCAATATTGCGAACTTCAAGAGATTGCATTCACGAATCCATTTAAAACCGGTATTGTTATGAAGAAATCAACACCACTTGCCGATTATTTGAAAGTAGCAATCTTAAAATTTCGCGAATCAGGCATTATGAAATATAATGATCTGCAATGGAAATTACCCCAAATCGATTGTGCGGCCTTGGCCAAAGACGATGTTGAAGTCGATTTGGAACATTTTGCCCCAGTTTTGGTATTTTTGGCATTTAGTATTTTGACATCGGTATGGATGTTTATATTGGAACACATTTATAAACGTGTTGAAAGGATACTCTGCATAAATTATGAAATTGTTTGTAAAACTATGCGTAAATATTTGCCTAAATAAACAGGCGGACGTTTTTTTGTTTTTGTTTGCCACAAATAATGAAGAACAGTGCAGAAGGGGAAGAGGAGTTATTAAAGTCACATCACCTTCGTTGGCATTGTAAGAATGGTAAACAATATTATTTGCCAGTTTATTATTAACATAATTAAACAAATTAAATTTTATTTGCAGGAAAACAATGAGGGTTCACGTTATAACAGCCATCAAATAATAGCTGGCAAATATTTTCTATAGGGATGTCGATGTAGAAATCTAAAAAAAAAATCATCAGCCAATTCTTTTTATATATGTTTTTTGTGTGATTTGCTTTTGGATGATGCAAATAAATGTTGTAGATGATAAAAATAGAATTATTTTCAATATTAATATCCAATAAAGACAATTGCTGATATAACCACAAAGGAACGGACCGAATACATGATATTAGGAGTCTTAAAGTCGAACGAAAATTATATTTAAATTTGAACCGATTACACATGTTATTCAAGACTAAATTTAGTTTGCTGTGCAAAATTGATCGGATTTGTCAATGGTAGGTTTATTATCTTTCATGCTCCATATTCATGAAATCGGCCGAAGGCATTTTGGAAAATAACCTTTAACGCCTAAAAGAAAATGCCACAATAAATTCCAATTTTGTGAACTTCTTGTGTGTAATTTTCAATATATAGATAAGTACACCCATGAAGTACCTAGAACATCGTTTTAAGAGCATGATCAAATTTCATTTCATTATCTTCTTTTTTAAATTATCATCAACATTATATTTTTATACTTGACGAAGTTTTGGAATTTCCAACCAATATCCCCGTTTTTTTCGACATTTCTACTGACAATTCGTAATGAAAGCATTTAAGTTTTTTTGTGTATATATTTACAAAAATACAAACAATGATTGCTGTATACTTACTTTTGTTGTTGTTGGTATTGCCATAAATAAACGCCGGCATACTTTTCTCAAGTATTTGTTTTGTGTTGATTTTTTGCAGTTGCTGCTACTGCTGCTGTTGCCTTCTCATTTATTTGTTTTGCATACAAATGAGACGGAAATTTTAACGTTTTTCCAAAGGAAACGTATAAAATATGGAGAAAAGTTACGATTGACGGCTACGTACGGATTCAAATTCATTGACACCCCCGCTCATTACCTCTGAATGTAACACTACCCAGCTTGTGTCTTTGAGGATACGCAGAAGTACGATCAAGTTAGGCCAATTGTTCATGAAAAAAATCAAAAAACAAAAACAATGGCAAAATTTAACTCTCAGAACAACAACAGCAGCTATAAACAGACGTAACCAGCAATTAAACACTTTTTTGTTGTAATTTCAATGCTGGAGCAGATTATGAAGTTGAAAAGGAAAACAAAAATGAAACTCAAGAGCAGCGGCAACAACAACAACAATAACAATACACACGAAAAATAATAAACACCAAACCGAAGTATAATGAGCCCTCATAAAAATAAAAAAATAAAAATAAATAAATAAAGGCAAAGGCAATGAGTGGCCAGTAGAACTTTTTCATTCAAATGCAAAATGTTTTAATTTAACGTTTTATTCTTATATATAGTGTCTGTTTGTTTGAATTTCGGCTAGAATGTAAAGTATCGGTCGGTCATGGGAAATATTTGTATTTTTTAATTTAAAATAATGAGGGTTACTGTATAAAGTGTTAGCAAGGAGAAATTATTAACAGTCTGTTTATTTGTTTTTTTTTGCGTAGCTTAAATTAAAAGGTAATGATATTGTGTTTATTTTTACTTAATAGTGTGGGACATTAACTCTGTGCGCATAAAATATTATAAACCGTGTGTAATAACAATAGTTGAAATATACTTTTAATATAACTCATATAAATATTCTAAACAAAAAAGGCAAATTACTATATTTTCAGATGTTACAATTAGTTTGGATATTTCATGTGTAAATTATACTTTGTGTAAATTAGACTATTAAATTTGGTCAGCGAATCATGAGTAAAATTTTAAAGAGTTTCAATATGTATTGATTTCTATACTTTGGTTAGAAAATACCTAAATGACCTTCAAAACACATGTATATCAAAAAGGGGACCTATTTTGCAAGGAGTTGAAATGCAAACGGAGATTCTTAAACCAAAAATTGTGGACGCTATGCGTATGATGTATTTATAAAATGCGCACAAATACAATTTATACGACACCGTGATATTATGTAATATATATTTTATCTACTTAATTTTTAGTTATCTACCTTGTGTCACTAACGAATATTTATTTACAATTACTGTCATATACATCAAGAATGAACTGCTAAACAATTTTTAAGAGACTATCAAAATGTCATTGCTTTTAATATTTCAAATATATATTGTGAAAATTTAGTTAAATTTCAATGCATAGTTTATTGGAATGAATACTAATTTTGAAATTTTAATTGTTTAGATTCGTAGCACAAAGATATTTGCTAATTATGTACCATCTCAATTATTTACACGCGCACACACTCACCCCCATGAAATCCAAATGAATTCAACCAGACTACCAAAACCCGGCATCCCTTCCATATTGAATTACAAATGCAATATCATATAATTGAGTTTATGAGGTTGTATTAATTCATTTATTTTTAGTTTATTTTCATATTTATTATTATTGTTGTTGGCCATTTTTTTCTTGCTTTAAATAATATAAATAATTGCATTAAATAAAATAGCAATAAACTATGATATTATTGGTATTTCACCAGCAATAAAGTATTGCAGAATTGTAATTATTAATTTATGCTTTGTTATTTTTCCAATTTGAGTTCGTGTGGGAGAATGTGTTTGTTTGCGTGTGTATGTGTGCCTATGTGCGTGAATGCGTTTGTCAAGCCGACAATAAACAACATTGTGAACGTTTTGTGAATAGTAAAATAATGCGAAAACTGAAACTCATTTTTGCCATTGCATTCCATTTCATAACGTAGGTGAACACCAGCGAAAGCTATGGCGGCATCACAAAATTCTGTCACACAATATTATCACATACACAAGCCAACCCATAGCCACCCACACATTCACGCTTATAAATATAATAATTAAATGCGTTACATGCCGCAACAGTTCACTTCCGCCTTAATAATCGGGCGAGATCATCATACCGCACATAGCAAAGAATGGCATATGTGTGTGCTTGCACGTTTGAGTGTGTGTGTGTGTAGTAATGCGTCAGTACGTGCGTAAGCGCAGGATGTAAACGTGCATCCGTTTATTGTGGATAAATATACGAATAGTAAATTTTAGTACCTTCATATATGTGCGAGTGTGTGGAATATAGTTTTGTGTCAGTTATGAGGGTGTAAAATTTAATTTTGAGTATTTTTGTAAAGGGAAATTCCATTGATATAGTGATTTTTTAAAACTTTTTTTTTGTATTATATTGGAAAACTATATATTAATTCTATGCTTTGTTTGACTAAAGAATTTGCAATGCCACGAAGTTATGCATCATCATCCGATCGAATTATATGTGCCCTATGTAACATTTGGCAATGCCTTAATGTACTACAGGTAACTCTGTTTTAAATATGGAATGTGATTCGGCACCATTATATATGCATTAAGAATAGTCAAAAGATCGAACATCTCACAACATCTTATCTATAAAAATATATACACATATTATTTGAAAATTAGTAAGCGCAGCAGTTTTGTCGGAGGGACCGACTTTATCATACCCTACACAAATACCACTGAACTCTAACATACTGCAGATCTATATTCCGAGCCTGGACAGGTCCACAGCTCCTATTTTTTACTATGATATATTTTCCGAATCATTTTTCCCAGTAGTGAACAGTTGCGCCATAAGATCAACGATCAGCGCAACATTTCCGTCATCGTGTGTCAGAATAGGTAGGCGCTATAAATATGTATGAATAGCATCCACAAAACAATAGAATTTGTCTAAATTTATTGGTCATCTACTCATCTTGGACATACTGTCACATTATCTGGTCTATGTCCATATTGTCCGATTATAATGAAAAGAGTCGAACTTGTTCCTTAGTCAGATCCCTTTTTCCTTGTAAAATCTCTTTACAATTTTAGCCTCTGGAGGGGTCATACATATATTCCAAAATAACGTTTTTGATCCTTCCTCGGCCTAAACTCGTCATAAGTGCATAATAGTGTCGTGTTTATAAAATATAAGGATAGACGGATGGAGGGACAAACATAGCTGGATCGGCTCAGCTAGTCGAGATATGATGATCGGTATACTAAAAGTTGCGGCGATACAAACTTTGGGGTCACACAAAGCTATAATACAATATAGTTTAGGGGCATTATTATACACCAAGAACTTGGAGGTCAATGAAATTTATTGTATTTCTTCAAGTTCCAGTATATAATTTATAAATGGAAGCAAAACCTCTTCGAGTAACATTACACCACCCAAAATGACTTTAGACTTATTCAAAATAAAAACCACATGTTTTTTTTTTTTTTTTGATCATTTATTTTTCAATTTCGAAATTGCCCATATCATCGAACGACTAAAAACATTTCATTTTATATGAGAATGTTTTTTTACTGCTTTTGTTAATACTGACTCTGTAATTATTATTGTTGTTGGCTGATTTTTTTGACTTGAGGATTTTTTTGTTGCTGTTGCTTGTCAAGGCAAACATTATGCATCCGCTCAACTGAACGCACGTGTACGCAGTTTACCGAAGATACATTGCCAGTTTCAAGCCGTCGTTTGTCGTGCACACGGCCATTGTTGAATGGAATGTGAATAAATAAAGGACAGCAAAGCGAGAGAGAGAGAGAGAGTGGGAACAAAAAAACGTAAACGAGAATAATAATATACTCATGACTTTTTCGCCACAACCCTGTTTCCGTTTCCGTTCATGTTTGGTTCGTTCGTGCTGGCACTGTCTGCTGGTGCAACCACAGATGCACTGCCATCTATCCATCCATACACCTACCCACCAGCTATTCTTTCATTCTGTCCATTCATTTTCAATTGCCAC